TGTTACGAGGAGTCCTGTAGCACCTGATAGACTAACAGCTGTATCGGAGCATAAGCTTTCGTGGGCAAAGACCCATGTCGTCAGATGCATGTAGTGGCCACTACATGCACCTCAGGAATGGGAGAATTCAATGTTCCAGGACACCACTGGGCTCTGGGTATGGGGCTTTTACTGACAATTAGCAATATTGGGGGGGAGGGGATTTCAATTAATACTGTCCCTACATTTTCCACATCTTGTAATGGAAGCTATCTTATGGCTGAGGGTGATCAGGGAATCAAGGGAGGCGCTTCTCCAAGACTGCAGCGTCTGCCCAGGCCATTGTGCGGCTGGCCTGTGTGCTGCAAAGGTGCCCCGCTCTGTAATGGCAGAGTGGCGCAGGAAAATTACCCTGAATGGGGGAAGAAACAAAGCAGCTCTGCCAAAGAACCTGTGCCAGTGGATTGCCCAGTATCTCTGAGGCAGATGGCCATGAAGTGAGCGAGTCAATCAACACCCTCTTCCGCTGCTGTGCCTACGCATGTGGTGGTTCGCACACCACACAGACACAAGGCAGCCATCAGCACTCCTTCCCCTCCCCCCCGGCCTACAAGCACCGCACACAGAAACAAGCTAGCCTAGGGCAGCGCCTCCCACCAACATCTTGCTTCAACAGTTCCCAAAATGGAAGCCCCTCACCAGCGGCCTCCTCTCCTGTTTCCATATCACCACGCCGAGCCTGTGGCTGACTAATCTCCTCCTGGGGTGAGAAGAGCACCTGGCTGCAGCCCAGTCCAAACAGCAAACTGTCCTCACCTACTGGGTCCCCTCCTGCTCCACATCCCCATCTGCTATTTTGTCATGGCTCAGCCCACTCTCAGCTGGCCCTTAGCTGCCAGAGTAGTCATGGGGGTCTCCACAGCAGAGGTGGGGTCACCCCCAAGTACTGCATCCCACTCTTTGTGGGACCAGCAGCCAGGGCCACCGGTGGAAGTCCCAGAATCTGGGACAACCCCCCCCCCATTACAGGCCCTCTATTCCCCAACCCCTTGCCCTCTCCCCTGAGCAATGCTGTCTGGGGGAGAACAAGTAAACATTTCCACTTCTCAATGTAGCACATCTTCCCCAGAACCAAAAGGAAGGAAATGGTATGTCGAAAATATGATCCTGCATACCTAGCATTTGGATTCACATATAAAGATGATTACCCGCAATGCATTATTTACTTGGAAATTTTGGGTAATTACTCTACGGTTCCTTCAAAACTTAAAAGGCATTTGGAAACAAAGCCTCTGCTCATTAGTTGAGCCTTAATCAAGGGGAGAGGCTATCAGGCAGTCTAGGGCTTTATAAAGAAGTGAGTCAGCGACCAGGGAGCTTGCAAACAGGAGCTGTTAACAGGGAGACTGGAGAGGGAGTTTTCACTACTCTCCTGCCCTTCAGGGAGGCATTGAATAACAACTGAGGAATCTCTCAGAAGGAAGGCAGATATGGATGGTGCTAGCTGTGCTGTTGTTACTTGCACAGCATGTGCCATGTTTGTCTTCCTCCCAGAAGAAAGGGAATTTCATTTGCGCTAAGTACAAGCTGGTCGCCATTTTGGAAGAAAAAATTAGAGGACTGGAGGCCCAAGTATCGACCCTACGTTCTATCAGAGAGGATGAAGACTTCCTCGATAGAAGGCAGCGTTTAAGCCTGCAGCCACAGCGGGCTGAAGAGCCAGTCAGGGCAGTACAGGACAAGCAAGAAAACTGTCAGCATGTAACCTCTAGAAGGAGAAGAAGGCCAACTCAGGTATCCCCCATTCCTGTAGAGGTAAGTAACCGCTTTCAGGCTCTCTCCACAGGCACTGCGGTGGGGAATGCTTTGGCAGAGACCTCTCAGGGAAGAAATCAGAAGGGAACACCATCTACCAGAAGGCATGGGATGTGCAGTCCTAGGGATGGGGGTTCCACAACCACCACCCCCAAAAGAACATAGGTGGCGGTAGTTGGGGTCTCCCTCCTAAGAGGAACTGTCATCCATCTGTCATCCAGACCTGCAGTCTCGAGAAGTGTGCTGCTTACCGGGAGCTCACATTCAGGATGTGACCGAGAGTCTTCTGAAAGTGATTAAACTTTTGGATCACTACCCCTTCCTGCTTCTACATGTAGGAACTAACGATACGGCCAAGAATGACCTTGAGCGGGTCAAGGCAGATTATGTACCGCTGGGAAGAAGGATCAAGGAATTTGAAGCGCAAGTGGTGTTCTCATCCATCCTTCCAGTTGAAGGAAAAGGTCCAGGTAGGGATCGTCGAATTGAAGAAGTAAATGCGTGGTTGCGCAGATGGTGTCATATAGAGGGTTTTGGTTTCTTCAACCATGGGATTCTGTTCCAGGCACAAGGATTGTTAGGAAGAGATGGGATCCACCTAACCAAGAGAGGAAAGAGCATCTTCGCGGGCAGGCTTGAAAACATAGTGAGGAGAGCTTTAAAGTAGGTTCTTTGGGGGATAGTGACCAAAGCCCTGAGGTAAGTGAGGCAGTTGGACACCGGGAAGAATCACAAGGAGGAACGAGCAACAAAAGAGGACCCCTGATTCAGATGGAGAAAGCAAGGCGATCAACTGGTTACTAAGGTGTTTGTACACCAATGCGAGAAGCCTGGGAAACAAATAGGAAGAATTAGAGGCCCTGGCCCAGTTAAAGAACTATGTTTTGATTGGAATAACGGAGACTTGGTGGGATGGCTCTCATGACTGGACCATTGTCATGGAAAGGTATAAACTGTTCAGAAAGAACAGGTGGGGGAGAAAAGGAGGAGTTGCATTGTATGTAAGGGTATGTCTACACTACCCCGCTAGTTCGAACTAGCGGGGTAATGTATGCATACCGAACTTGCTAATAAAGCCCGGGCTTTGAATTTCCCGGGCTTCATCATTTTTAAAAGCCGGCTAGTGCGACCCCGGTGCCGCGCGGCTACATGCGGCACGGGCTAGATAGTTCGAACTACGTAGCCATTCCGAACTATCTGTACACCTCGCTCCACCGCGTACAGATAGTTCGGAATAGCTAGCTAGTTCGAACTATCTAGCCCGTGCCGCGTGTAGCCGCGCGGCACGGGGGTCTCACCAGC